ACACTCGCCAGGCGAAGCCCAGCGAATGCTGCGATTCACCAAGTTTTCTCACAGTTCTGCAGTGTATTCTAGGCCAAATTGTACCTATCATCTCAACTCATATCCTCAGTCTATTCTAGTACCAATCTTGCACATTATCGTAACCAATAGGTTTCTAATTTCTATTCCCAAAATCATCACCTACACACTTTATCGATACCTCAAAAGCCATACAGAATCTTCCCTAAAAACCGTAAAACACCCTATATGCCCTATATGTCAAATCAACCCAAAACACCAATTCATTAACGATTACTATATAATTAACGACAATCATCATCAATCATAACACATCAACTCACAATATCATATATAGATGATCTTTCTACGGGGTTAAGGAATCCCCAACTACCCTATAGATGTATAAACCATTTCCCAATCAAGTTTCTCCCCCCTTACCTTGTTAATCGGTTGATCGATGAAAGAGCCCTCCAAGGTTTGGCCAATTCTGATTTTCCCCTGTTCCTTCGTTCTTCGCTCCCTTTTCCGTTCTCTTTTCCGTTTTCTCACTTCTCTCCTTTCTATCGTTCTTTTTCCACTTTCTCTAACTTCTCACAATGTATCGTGAAAACTACTAACTCTCACATTCTCTATTTTAATTCTCTAATCCCAATAATAATAATAATTTAATAATAATAATATTAATAACAATAGTAACTATAATAAATATAATAATAATAATAATATTCCCACCAATATCAATATTATACACTATATTATTATATTTACCAAAACACCACCAATAATCCTCCCACATTAGGGACACCCACCAAACATCACCAAATACACCCCCACCAAAGGGTACACCAACACATAATATTTAAAATAATAATAAAATGACTAAATAATTAAAATGGTTGTTACATTGCCGGTCCGTCAAACCGACCGAATAGATAATTATATTGTACTACTTTTGTATTTCATCAATCAATTATTTTTAATTCAACACAACTTTCAAATTACAACAACAGCAGCGAACTATAAACATAAAGTGGATCCGTGACTCCACAAACGCAAACATAAAACTCATGAAGCTAACATAAACTCTAACAAACAACAGCGACCAACACAAGTGAATCTGTGACTCCTCTGTTGACTTCACCACTATGTGCTGAAAACATGCAATGGACATCTTCATCATTTTCTATGCGATCTAGGTAGTACATGTACGTCCCCTCCGGGCTAGCATCAGTAAGCGTTATATATGGACAACGATACTCAATTTTTCTCACCGTCACGCGACGACCGCCCAGCTGCCGAAACCCACTGTTAATTGTTGCGACCACGGTTCTGAAATTCCACAGCGGATCTAGGTAAACACTTAATTTTTTCTCAGGTCCATAGAAAACATGAGCTTGCACAGACATCTTTGTAAATCGGATAACTTGACACAAATGATAGTAAATTGGCATACGCTTATTTATACAGAAAAATTACGTCTGAGTTCGGTCATTCCGTGACCAAACTATGTAAATTATTTAATCTTCTAATTTAATCTTGTCATTTTATTGTTATAAATTATTTAATCAATTAATGAAATAGTTTTTAAATTAAATTATTTAAATAGTTTTTATATTAAATTAATAAAATATTTTTTAAATTAAATTAATAAAATAGTTTTTATATTAAATTATTTAAATAGTTTTTATATTAAATTATTTAAATAGTTTTTATATTAAATTGTTTAAATAGTTTTTATATTAAATTATTTAAATACATTTTAAATAGAATTAACAAAAAATAAAAAAATTAAAAAACAAAAAAAAAAACCATCTTCTTCACTAGTTCGCCCATTCAATGGGTGAACTCATGCATGGCACGTTTTCTCAACATGTTCGCCCAACAGAAGGACGAACTTCCTCATGGACTCCACATGTTCGTCCAATCAATGGACGAACTCCTTCTAAACTAGGGCATGCTGGTAAATTAGTTTTCAGAAAGGGAACTGTGGGATATTTCACTTCAAACAAGGGCAGTGTGGTGAAAAATTCTCGTTTTTGCGTTGCATTCTTGCGAGTGTTGCTATTTGTGTACGGACAAGCTTGGCTGGGTTGTGGTGGCCTGCAACGGCTTGTACGAATTATTGCCCTCTTTTTTTTTTTTGTAATGCAGGTTTTGGATGGTGTATTAATTTTGCAGGCTTTTGTCATTAGGGGCGTATTGAAGTTTTTGCCCGTTTTGGTATGTGTTGGCCATGCTTATAGGTGGGTCTTGCAGCACATGATTATAGGATTTGAAAAAGCTTCTAATATGTAGCTTAGGCGCGGCTGGTTAACGCTTAATGCTTAGTTTTTTTTATTCAATTTTGGTACTTGTTTAATTACATTCTAAATGTATCATGGGCCTTGATTTGTAATTTTGTAGAATGTATTTATTAAATATTTTGGAATGGACTTGAATGATGGGCCTTATATTTCTAATTACAACTTCTTGCAATTTTGGTAATACAATGAATTGTAAATAGGCTTTTGAAAACAATTCTTCATGGGGTATAGTGTAAATGGAATTGTAAAAATTAGAAATGGCTTGGAATCTTTTGGAATTTGGATTTGCACCTCACTTTTTAATTTCAAACCATATTTGAAACTTGAGCCACGAGAATTCTTTGAATTATGAGTGAAACTTGAATTAACCTTGATGTTTGAATGAATTGGAGCTTTGAACGATGAGTCCACTACCGAACCAATTCTTGGACTTTAGAACTCAAAACTATGAACCCATTCTCAAAAACAAAACACACATGAATTAGTTCCCAAATAAATCTTGAATTTTTCCACCTTCGTATTGAGGAACTAAAACCCTTATTGTAGACCTGCTTGAATCAAGTCTTTGAAAACCAGGACTTGAAACATGTACTGCACAACACCAAACCCTAATTAGAGATGAACTAACCTTCGATGATCTCTAATTGTGAAATAACTGATAACCTGATATAGGTTGGCCATCTGATCCATATGAATGACTCGTCAAGAAACCAAACTTGACTGACCAAGCAAATTAGGTCAACATCACTCAACCCTTGTCTGGGCACCTTGAATTCAACCTTGCACAAACTTGAACAACAAGCAGAAGCAACATTTTTTTGGGATTTTTTGAATAATGATTAGCGAGTGGATGTGCAGATGAAAACTATACACGAGTAGGGCAAATTTGAGGTATGACAATAAGGACAGATTGATAAGAGGTAGAGTAAATAAGGACCACAATAAGGTGCAATGCACTTAAGTAAATATAGAACACCGTAAGGTACGGTAAACTTAAGTAGAATACGAAATATGGTAAGGTACTATGCGCTTAGGCGATATACGGTACACCATAAGATATGGTGCACATACACTTAAATAGGCTTTTTAGCTTGCAGCCCACACAAGTGGTTATATAAATAGAACCCTTGTTCAGAAGTATACACTCTTAATGAAAATTCATACTGTGAAACCCTAGCCGTATTTTTCCTTTTCTTATCACTCAAAGCTTTCAATCGTAGCAGCTAGCACTAAGACTGAATGAATTTGTTTGTGTGGACTGAATAAAGGCGATGTTCATCATGCATCGCTCGTGATCATTCATGTTTCATCGCCACAAGAGGTAACTATATTATCTATTGTACCCCAAAATTTTCCGTCACTTTTCCTAACACTAATTGGTTTGTGCTTCACATTCATATGCATTTGTCCACTAGATCCTAAGGCATGGGATCAATTCTCTCTAAGGAATAAGGGTTTTCTATTGGGTTGAGGTTTTTATTTCATTAAAGATAATTCAACTTATTCTTTCATGAATTATGGAATTAGGATTTGATCTATCATCATCATGAGCATCTTATTATCAAGGTTCATCAAGTATCAAGGTTATTTTCCTCAGGATTCCTCAGAAGCCTCGGTGTATATCCCAAACAGAATTAGGTTTTTCCTTTCATTGGTGTTAAGCATGGTCATTTGATGACTGGTTAGAGTTTTATGGCAAGTTGCATTACAAATTGTATCCTTATTTCCAAGGGCATGACTCTTATACTAAGTTCATCTTCGACTGTATGGGTAACAAAGATCAAGCTTAATTCAAGAGAGACTTTATTCGTATCCATGAGGTTGGATCATTATTTGTTTCCTTTTGATCTTAAGTGAAAGAGTTCAGTTTTTCTTGTTGATTAGTTTGTGAGTAACATGCTTGGAAATGGTAAAGTTTAGATTAAAAAAATCTTGAATTAAGTTTAGGAAGTGAAGTTCAAGACTCATGAAAGTTCAAATTGATTCATTGTTTTTTTACAAAGTTTAATTTCAAATTCAAGCTATGATTAAATTCATTCAAGTTGCAATAATTTCCCATTTTTAATTTCAAGAATTTTTGTATAAAGATGCAAGAAGTAATTCATACTTCACCAAGAAAATTCACCAATTCAAGTATATAAAGCTCAAATAAGATTCAAGAAGGATCGAATTTTGAAGGCTTACAAGATCAAATTAAAAAAAAACCAAGATTCACAAACCATTCAAAAATTACAAGTTCAAATGTAAAAGGTCCAACTTCTAACATTTTTTGCATCCAACCTTACAAAATTCATGATACATCCCAAATTATAAGTTACAAATCTTAATCCTAAAAGCCTATAGGCCAAAGATGGAAAAAATTGTTGCATTCTGACTCCCTGCATAAGATGATCAAGCGTTTGGCAAATCCAAGTGTGAGGCGAATCATTGTTGTATAACCGGTTTTTTCCTTCTGACACATATGTTGCCATGGTCATATTTTAAATGAAGTGCTCTGAGTCAGAATTGGAAAAGAACAAGAACTTATAAGGCTCCCTTGGATTTATATCATTAGTGAGGACATTTTGTTTGTGGAACACTCTATGTCATTGGAAGGTTCTATTGAGGTGCATGTCACTTCTTCCAAAGCATTGCTTATAATTGGATCGCATATGCCAGAGGTGGTAACATCACATTATGCTCTCCAAGTTTCATGGCTTAAGCAACTACTACAGAATCACGTAGATTGGGACACTCGGGAATCCATTGCATGCTTACTTGGAATTGTGTCTTCTGATCTTCCTCTGCCCAGTGTTATTTCAAAATTGACTTTAACTTTCATCCATCAACACAATTCCAAAAATAAAAGAGACGTGTTTCAAACAAGATCGCCATCATCAATTACAAATTTTAAAACATGTATCCAACACAATCAAACATTCACGATTAGTTTTTGAAATCCCTTCAACACAAAATTGAACATGTCGGAATAAAAAATGGAAAGGAATTCATCACAGTTAGACATGATAAGCTAAAAATGGAATTCTCCAAAACAAAATCAAGACAGTAATCTACAACATTCATTTCAAAATTGGCGTGTTAAATGTCACAAGCCCTATAAAGTGAATCTGTCCTCATTTACAGAGGACATGATTTAAAAAGATACACACATACACAACAGAAAAAATAATTGGAGAGGGAATAACAACAACATCAACAATCATATGTAGGAACACCAGAGCAAAAGGAATAACGTGTTGAATTCTGAATTTATTAACAAGTTGTAACACAAACAACCCAGAAGCATACACACATCACTTAAACGCTCATAACAATAATCAATTAAACAAACGATAGCAAATAGCAGGCATAGAGTAGCATCACAAACACACAGACACGTAGGGCAATTATCACGATACCACAAACACTACACCACGACAACAACAATACACACAGAGCGAAAACAAGTCAATCGTAATACACGCACGCAACAAGAGAGAAAAGGAAGATTATTTGGAGTGCACCGGTATAACCTTCCGGGTTTCTCATGTTTACATCACCGCTGAAGATGCGCCGGACGAACTTTGATAGGTAGTTTTGTTCAATCTTTTCTCTTGTATCGCCTATGTAGTGTTTGATCGTTGCTTGCTGACACAAAATCATTTGAATTTTCTTGGAACTTGGTGCTTTTTTTGTTCTGATTTTGTGTTTGAATGTATCGCGTGGACATAAGGGGATCTTGGGGCGAGGTCGTACGCATACGAGGAAAAGTTGAGACGAGAGGGAGCCATCGCGCAGGATTGTTTTGTGAACAAGAAAAGAAAATACGTAGATATATATATATATATATATATATATATATATATATATATATATATATATATATATATATATATATATATATATATATATATATATATATATATATATATATATATATATATATATATATATATATATATATATATATATAGAGAGAGAGAGAGAGAGAGAGAGAGAGAGAGAGAGAGAGAGAGAGAGAGCCGAGAGTAAGAGGCGATGAGAGTGATGAAGATAATGTTGTTATATTTTTTTCTCTTTCTCTTGGACATCTTTGTTTTTTTTCCTAATCCCTTTTTGTTGCTAGTAATATATTGTGAAAATGGGGCGCATACACTAAGCCCATGTTTATGTTTTTCTAAAACACCACACCCTTAATTTAGCTCTACACCCTTTTTGTTCAATTCAGTTTTTATTTTTCTTTTTTTCTTTTTACAAAAGATTAATATGAACACTTGATTAATTGTTAGTTTTTTATTAATTAAATCCTTAATTTTTATTGATTAATTGGAATTCTTAGAATTTTAATTGATTAATTAAATTTTTAGTTAATCTTAATTAAAATTTTAATTAAGTCCGATGTTAACTGTGATTATTTATTTGTCAGTTTTCTTGTGAAGTTGTGATGCATGCTTTTGATGATTCTGATTCAAATCATTCCTTAGGTTCTTGATTCAATTTTATCTTGGATAAGTTGAATCAAATTTAGACTTTGAGATCAAACCGTTGCATGATAACATTAGCGTAGTTTTCCCTTCAATCCTAATCTCTAAGTCCATTTTGTAGGATAACTTCTAGGATAGGAACTTCTCTTCAACCTAACCCTAGGTCCTTAGTATTAGGTTAGACTTCCCTTTCACTTAAAACTAGCATCTTTTCTTCATAAAATTACAAAAAATATTTGTTAGAACACAGATTGGTTCTTAATAATATCTCTTTGTTTTGATGATAACTATTAGGAAATTTTGTATTTAAGAATTATATACTCTAAAATTTGCTTGAGAGTTTTACTGCAGATTGTAATGAAATTAACACTCCAAAAGCAAATCTGAATTGTATACAAGAAAGTAACTAGACTCTGAAGCGCCAGATGCACTCATTAGAAGATTCTGATTGCTGCATATAGAAGATCCTGAGTGTAGCCTCAAGAAGAATATGAAGCAAGAAGCTCCAGAAGATTCTGAAGCAGAAGCTCCAGAAGGATCTGAAGTAAGTCAGAAGCATCTGAAGCAAGAAGAATATTGTATGAAGAGTTTTTCAAAGCATAGTTCCTACAGAAGTTTCTGAAAGTACTAAAGCTGCCAGTACTGAAGTTCTGTGTCAAATATGCTCTGATGATTAACACGCTGAAAGCACACATGCTGCAGAAGACTCTGATACAGCAAAGTTCTGAACATTATTAGAAGACTCTGACTCAATCAGATTCTGATGAACTTGCTGAAAACTGAAGAAGAAATATTCAAAGATTATATCCGTTGGAGTAAATCAAACGTCTCTTTCCTCATTTGTGCTAGACACAAGAACACAGACAAAAAGGCTTTTTCTGTGCTTTCTACTTCTAGGAAAGGTCACTTGATGTGAAGACAAAAAGGTTCAGACCTTTTTGGGACACTCTTCTCAACGCTCAGCTCTCCTTGGATCAGCTGTCTATAAAAGGAAGACTCCACCAAATTCTTCAGTTAGACATTTTTGCTGAAAAGAAATTATAACATTAAAGCTCTCATATTTTCATATTCATTCTTAGAATTATTTGTACTTAATCTTAAGAGAAATATCACTGTTGTGATAAAAGCTTTTTAGAAGCATTCATACCCTTGTATTAGATTTACATTGATTGTAAAGGATTTTCTTAAGAGGATTCAGTTGGAATCAGTAGCTCTTGAGAAGACTAAGAATAATTGTTCTTAGGTGTTACTATTGTAATCTGTTTGATTAAATAGTGGATTAAGTCCTTGTTGAGAAAGGCAAATCACTCTAGGAAGGGTGGACTGGAGTAGTTGAGTTCAACGAACCAGGATAAAAATAATTGTGTTTTTATTTCTAAGTTTTAATCTTTCATACTTATTCAACCCCCCTTCTAAGTATTATCTCACCTTCAGTTGGCATCAGAGCTCCGGTTCTGTGTGTGCTACCACTTAACAGTGACAGTAAAGATCCAGAGAGAAATACTTTGATATATATTTATTTGTTACAATGGCTGATAATACAATATCCAACATTAACAATAAATATGAAGAAAGGGACAAGATCAACACCAAACCCCTTATGTTTGATGGGGAGAAATTTGATTACTGGAAAGACAGAATTGAGAGTTTTTTCCTTGGATATGATGCTGATATATGGGATCTAGTCATAGATGGATATGTCCATCCCACAGATGGGAATGGCAAAAAGATAGACAGAAAATCTATGACAGATGCTCAGAAGAAAGATTTTAGAAATCATCACAAGGCCAGAACTATATTATTGAATGCAAATTCTCATACTGAGTATGAAAAAATTACAAACAGGGAAACTGCTTTTGATATGTTTGAATCCTTAAAAATGACTCATGAGGGAAACTCTCAAGTCAAGGAGACAAAAGCTCTGGCTCTGATCCAGAAGTATGAGGCCTTCAAGATGGAAGACTCTGAATCTGTTGAAGCCATGTTCTCCAGATTTTAGATCCTCACAGCTGGGGTAAAGGTTATGGACAAGGGATACTCTACATCAGATCATGTAAAGAAAATCATCAGAAGTCTACCTGCCAGATGGAGACCAATGGTGACTGCCTTGAAGATGGCTAAAGATCTGAACAAGATCTCTTTAGAAGAACTCATCAGCTCACTGAGCAGCCATGAAATTGAGCTTGAGGAAGATGAACCTCAGAAAAAAGAAAAAGGTAAATTTGTTGCCTTAAAATCTAACAAATCTGCTAAAGCTTTGCAGGTTATTGAAGAAAGCTCTGAAGAATCTTCTTCTGAAGAAGAAGATGAATTATCCATGCTGTCCAGAAGGATCAACAGACTCTGGAAGCACAAGGGAAAGAAGTTCAACAACTTCAGAAGATCTGATCATAGAAAGGAATCTTCTGGGCACGGAAGATCTGGCAAGAAAGAAGTTGTATGCTATGAGTGCAAAGAACCTGGGCATTACAAGAATGATTGCCCCAAACTTCAAAAAGAAAAACCCAAGAAGAAGTTTAACAAAAAGAAGAAGGTTCTGATGGCAACATGGGATGACTCAGATGAATCTGAATCATCTTCTGAATCAGATGTTGCACTGATGGCCAGCACAGAAGATCAGGAGGAAGGAACCTCAGGATATGAATCATATTCTGAATCTGATGATGACGCTGAAGAGGTAATGGCTAAACTTACCAAAGAAGAACTTATAAAAGTTTTATCAGAAGTTCTTAAAAGTTATAACAATATCAAACTCAAATACAAGAAGCTGAAAAGCAATCTTGAATCTGAGATTGATCTTCTGAAGATAGAACTTGTTGAGCAAAAAGAAATTAGTCTGAAAATTAAAAATGACTTTGAAATAACTCAACAAGAATCTGAATCTGAGACTAAGTCATGTGAAAACATTTTAGAAAAATATGACTCTAACTTTCAGAGATTCCTTACTAAGAGCATAGACAGAAGCAAGATGGCTTCTATGATCTATGGTGTTAGTGGGAACAACAGAAGAGGTATTGGATATGAATCTTGATCTGGAAGTAATCCAAAATCTATTGACAAACTTTTCATCAAGAAGACACCTCTGTATTCTCAATTTAAATTTGGTCACTTAAATGACATTAAAAACACAAGCTCTGAGAAGAATACTTATGTGTTTAAACCCAAGGCAAGTCAGAATAAACATTATGTTGAAAAACAGAAGTTTAGACAAACCTACAAACCAACTAACCCCAAAGGACCCAAGAAGATCTGGGTACCTAAAAACAAAATAATTCCTGTTGCAGATGTTCTTAGCAGCAAGGTCAGGACGCCAATCATGGTACCTGGACTCTGGATGCTCACGACACATGACAGGAGAAAAGTCTATGTTCCAAAGCCTGGAACTTATATCTGGAGGTGATGTGAAGTTTGGAGGGAACCAGAAGGGCAAGATCATTGGATCTGGCACTATTGGAAATGGTAAACTTCCCTCTATTACTAATGTTTTACTTGTTGAAGGGTTAAAGCATAACTTATTGTCCATAAGTCAATTAAGTGACAATGGTTATGATATTACCTTTAATCAAAAATGTTGTAAAGCTATTAGTCAAAATGATGGCTCTATCCTATTTAGTGGTAAGAGGAAAAACAACATTTATAAAATAAATCTTTCAGAACTTAAAGTTCAAAATGTTAAATGCCTCTTGTCTGTTAATGAAGAGCAATGGGTCTGGCACAGAAGATTGGGCCATATTAATATGAGACGTATATCTCAAATTAATTAACTTAATCTTGTCAGAGGACTCCCTAATCTGAAGTTCACTTCAGATGCTCTTTGTGAAGCATGCCAAAAAGGGAAGTTTTCAAAAACATCTTTTAAATCAAAAAATGTTGTTTCTACTTCCAAACCACTAGAACTACTTCATATTGATCTGTTTGGACCAGTGAAAACTGCATCCATCAGAGGCAAGAAGTATAGATTAGTCATTGTTGATGACTATAGTAGATGGACATGGGTAAAGTTCTTAAAACACAAGGATGAGTCACATTCTGTGTTCTTTGACTTCTGCAAGCAAGTCCAGAATGAAAAGGATTTCAAAATTATAAAAGTCAGAAGTGATCATGGTGGTGAATTTGAAAATAAATATTTTGAAAAATATTTTTCTGAAAATGGCATTGCTCATGATTTTTCCTGTCCTA